TGAGGTTATATTACATGTGCAACATTGCTTCTATAGGCTTGTCAGTTTTAAAATTTGTGAGACAACTGATTAACATCAAAAACTAAAGTAATATTAGTACTAATGTGTACATAAACTAATTTTTAAGGATTTATAACATTTTCTTCACAAGTGATTTGTACTATTTCCTTAGATCACAACCGTCCATCTCAATGGATCTGATGCCATATTTCTATTTCCATTTAATATTTTCTGATAAAAAGCTATGAAGATTGGTTAAAAAATCAAAAAGGAAGAGTGGTGTGTAGATCTATTTCATTAAAATATGTAGAAGTTACTGGCACTAGCACCCAGCCCCATCACCCTCATCTGCCAGAAATGCCCAGGAGCCTAGAGGTGGGAATTTCATTGACCACGTTGGATTTGACTGATCACAAACTGAGGTGCCTTCTCAAGCTATACTTCTAGCACTTTAGATCATGTCTTAACCTTGGGTAAAGAAATAAAATGAAGAACTAAAAAACAACAAACATAAGAAGTCCTACTTGACTGCTTAAAACCCAAGAAAATGAACATTGCTGTTATATATTGCTCAAATGCATTAGAATGACAACTATTCATCATTCATGCTTGGGGACCGAGAGGGTAACCATATATATTCACTCCCTTTGTGACTAAGCTTGATATATTACTCATCTTATGTTGAAGAACGATGACAATTTCTCAGCAAATATATGAAATAGGCTAAATTATGCTTTTCAGTCAGAAAGCAATTACTAAATAATTAAGGGCAAGTAGTTTTCACTAGATAAAATGAAGATATTGAATTTAATTAAGTGAATACTAGCTATCTCCAGTTATTATTTTGTCCTCTATGGAGATACTTTACATCAGTCAATAATAGGAGTCAATGATCTAGTTTGATTATGTTCTTAAATTCAATAAAATTCCATAACCAAACGCCCAGGTAAAACAAAGGAAAGAATAGTTAATAGAGAAGAATGATTAACAGTGTTTCTGAAGGTACTGTGTTATCAATAATGCACTGCCAATCTAATAATTCGCAACTAGAAATATCACCAATACAGGACACATAAAAACCAGCTTTCAGTTCTCAATCTTCAACTATCCAACCAAGGGGGAGAGGCCTGAGCAGTTAAAATATATGTCTAAGTCAGTCAGGCGCAGTGGCTCACGCCTATAATCTCAGCACTTTGGGAGGCCGAGGAAGGCAGATCGTCAGGTTAAGAGATCGAGACCATCCTGGCCAACATGGTGAAACCCTGTCTCTACTAGAAATACAAAAATTAGCTGGGCATGTTGGTGTGCGCCTGTAGTCCCAGCTTCTCAGGAGTCAGAGGCAGGAGAATCGCTTGAACCCGGAGGTGGAGGTTGCAGTGAGCTGACATCACGCCACTGCACTCCAGCCTGACGACAGAGCAAGACTCCGTCTCAAAAAAAAAAAAAAAAAAGTCTAGTCAATGTAGTAAACATAACTAATATAGTTTGCTCAGAAGAAAAGCTCTCAGGTCTTTATTCTGAAGGTGCTTATTTTATGCATATAATAAAAACTGAGATGTTTTCCTAACCTGTAAGAGATGGACTACAAGACAGGCACATTGCAACTGATAGTATTTTGACAGCAAAAGAAAAAACAGGAAGTACAAAATCCAGGATGGAATTCAAAAACAAGAGTCTGAAGCAAGTTAATACATTTAGAAAATGTCTCTCATGTAGCTTCAGGTTATCATTAAAATTTTGCCTTATAAAAATTGATTCACATAAATGATTCTAAGTCATCAGAAAAATATTAAGTATAATTAGAATGGTATATTTAACAAGGCAGATATTTTTAAGAATATACAACAGAAAAATATATGCAACACAAAAGAAAAGGTTAAGATTCTTTCTATATAAAGAATTCTTACTAATTAACAGAACAGGCAAAGGATATTACAAGGCAATTCACAAAGAGAAAGAAATGAAGAAAGTATATACATATTTTTTCATGTATTTAGGAGCCTTTTTTTCTAATTATAATATTAATTGTTGGTAAAGGTACAAATAAAGGACATACTCATTCTCTGGTGGTAGCAATGTAAACTAGTACAACTATCTTGTAAAATTATTCGTCAATATGGGTAAAAGACTTAAGAACATCAATACCCTTTAATACAGCAACTTCTAGTAATTTATTGTATAAAAATAATCATAGATATATAAAAGGTTTATGTGTAAGGACTAAAAACTATAAATATTTGTGAATTGCCTTGTTATACCATTCGAATTATATTTAACCTTTTTCCAATGAATTAGAATCATTTATGCGTATCAGTTTTCAAAAGGCAATTGTAGCAATAACCTCAAGCTGTCTGAGACGTTTTCTAAATTTATTAACCGATTTCAGACACTTGTTTTTGAATTCCATTCTATATTTTGTACTTTCTGTCTTTATGATACATTCTCATTTACTTTAGCAAGTCTTAAATAATTCTGAATATGCAGAGTAAAATATGAAATTTCCCTTATATTCCTCCTACGGCCATCCTTACTCCAGTGATAGCACTACTAACAGTTTAGTGTCATATGCATGAAAATAATGCTTTACATTTTTCCCTTTAACATTCAACACTGCCTTATAAACAAGGTCTTTCCAAGTCAGAGTTCAACTATCTTCATTTTAACGCCTGCAAAGCATTTCATTAATATGATCATACTTTATCATAGCTTACTTAAAGGGTTTCCTTCTTAAAGACAGATGAACTGTTTTCAATATTTCGATGTTAAAAACAAGACTTAGATGAACATTTTGATATATACTTTGGTTCTACTTTGGTTCAAGTACAAGTATTTTTCTATGACATTATTTCTCAGACTACATTGCTGGACTGAAAATAAGTATATTTCTATTTCTAGTATCACCAAACTGTACTCCAAACTGCTTTACCAATGTAAATCCCCACTTGAAAACATTAATATTCTTCATTTCTGCCAAACTG